TATGGACAGTGCACACGATGTATCTAGATCACATCATGCACGCTACAGGATAAATCTAATACACGCATTGGGCACAATATATCTATGGACAGTTTACACGATGTATCTAGATCACATCATGCACAGTACAGGATAAATCTAATACACACATTGGGCACAATATATCTATGGACAGTGCACACGATGTATCTAGAGCAAATCATGTACGTACATGTCATACCGTGACCGTGTCGTGACCGAGCAGTACTATCGCGCGCTGTCTTTGGCTTACAGAATGTTGCAATCTCAAACTGCTTTTGATGTGCGCAATCYCAAACAAGTAAAAGGACACCAAAACTATCATACAGAAAACATTCTGCGCATTAAGGGTACACGTACTCTAATTATATCTGATACGAGCGACGTGAGCTGTTCAACTATCAAAAAAACATATGGATATATTGTGAATCTATATATGCATTAGGGTATCTTATGCTTACTGTACACGGGATATTTAAAACTCGCTGTAACCTGCGCATCTAACATATCAAATACACTGTGCATCATATACTAACAATATACCCTGTGTATCTAACACACCTGGTGTGCGCAGTGTATCTAATACACGTAGATTGCACGGGGTACTTAATACTCACTGTACCCTGCACATCTAATATATGAAATACACTATCAGATACTAACAATATACCCTGTGTATCTAACACACCTGGTGTGCGCAGTGTATCTAATACACGTAGAGTGCACAGGGTATTTAATACTTACTGTACCCTGCCCATCTAACATATCAAATACACTGTACATCATATACTAACAATATACCCTTTGCATCTAACACACCTGGTGTGCGCAGTGTATCTAATACATGTAGAGTGCACAGGGTATTCAATACTCACTGTACCATGCTCTTCTAACATGTCAAATACACTGTGCATCATATACTAACAATATAACCTGTACATCTAACACACCTGGTGTGCGCAGTGTATCTAACACATGTAGAGTGCACAGGGTATTCAACACTCACTGTACCCTGCACATCTAACATATCAAATACACTGTGCATCATATACTAACAATATACCCTGTGCATCTAACACACCTGGTGTGCGCAGTGTTTCTAATACATGTAGAGTGCACAGGGTATTTAATACTCACTGTACCCTGCGCATCTAACATATCAAATACACTGTACATCATATACTAACAATATACCCTGTGCATCTAACACACCTGGTGTGCGCAGTGTATCTAATACATGTAGAGGGCACAGGGTATTTAATACTCACTGTACCCTGCACATCTAATATATGAAATACACTGTGCATCATATACTACAAATATATGCTGTGCATCTAACACACCTGGTGTGCACAGTGTATCTAATACACGTAGAGTATTTAGTACTCACTGTACCCTGCACATTTAATATATCAAGGTGAATTAACCCAGATAAAGGAGAACTTGCCCTTGTCGTTTAAGTTTTTACCGACAATGTCATAAAAACACTTTGAGTAAAGGTGCTGACACACAGTGCAACATTGCATGTAACATTGTACGAAACCGGACTGTTGCAGCGCGTGCATGTCTACCCCAAACTTGTTGCATGCAAAAAATCTGAAAATAAATGGCGCTCTTCTCTTGCAACATTTCGCGCAACAAATTTCATCATATGAACATGGCTGCAACATTACCTGCAACATCTTGAAATTTCCAGCCAATCAGCTTAAACAAAATTCATAAACACATATCTTAACATATCAGGCTGACTTAAGCGATGTTGCGTGATTTTGTTGCAGTGTGTGTCACCCTGATTCAAATTTGTTGCTTGCAATGTTGTGTGCAATGTTGCGCCGTGTATCAGCACCTTAACGTGCACTTTATCCCTAGGTTTTGTTGAGAATCAGTGTGAAATCATTAAGTCTTTTACATGCACATTTACGCCAAATTCAAAGCTCGTTGTTAGGTACAAAAGGTCAAGTCATTAGGCTAAGGCCGAGGGGTATTCTGGGTAGTCGATACCCTGTGATTTTGGAGAGTGTTTGCATACTTGACACATGCACCAAGAATGAAAAATCTTAAATGAATGTTCGAGAGCTGCAAAACTGCAATTCGCAGAATATGAACTCATGTAACTTTTTACCCAGAGCACCTTTCGGTTTTAGGTTATATGATTTAACCCTTTTTAAGTAACCTGGCAAAGATTTTGAATTTGGTATATTCAAGATACCTCATCTCGGTCTCTTGGTTGGCCTAAAGTCGAGTAGGAACTTTATCATCATTCTGGATTTTTCCATCAAGAATGTCCAAGTTGCTTGCACTTGCCTTATTGTCAGCGCTGGATGGTGCATTCTTGTTGCTTGGGTTTTCAGACTTGGAGCTTCTTGCGGTGATGTTGCCACCGAGGTATTCAAAGATGTTCTGCAACTGTGAAGAGAAAACCTGTATGGAATCATTTTATCTACAAGTTTGATTCAACAATGATACAAGTGTTAATTGAAAGTATATTAAAAAATAAAAAAATAAAATTGCTTGTTTCAGTTTACAATCGTCGCCCGATTAATAAATGAAAGAAATATTAATTTGCTTGAAAAAATGTCAACGAAGTTGGACCAAAATGGAATACCAGTTGACTAGATGGAATAAAATAGATACAAAATAATATGTTGTACATTTGGTCAACTATCTCGAATCTCATCGGCTGAGAAAATTTAGATAGTTCGATGGATGGATGGATGGAGGGAGGGAGGGAGGGAGGGACGGACGGAAGGATGGATGGATTTGAATAGAACAAATCTATTGAAATAAATGAACGTAAACAATCAATGAATGACACTAACCGTAGTTGTTTTAGTCATTCCAACCTTCCTCATGGAAAGCCTTCTCATTGGAGCTGTTATGAATTTCTTCAAAGCTTTCCGCATATCCTTAGTCAGGAAAATGTAGATAATAGGATTAACTGAAGCAACAATGTGCGGTAGAATACCAATGACAAAAAGAACCTTTGCGCTGGCATCGATGGCAATTTCAGTACAAAACGCCTCGTACAAAGTAATACCGAAATAAATTCCCCACATAGTGCAGAAGGGAATGACGATGATTAGGAGATTCAGCGACAAGCGGATTTCTTTTTTGATGACTTCTCGTTTCTTATGATGGTTTTCTTGGTTGGTGTGCTTTTCTGTCCACTCGATTTGTTTCCAAGCTGCGATGAAAACCTGCAGACAGGAAGAAAATTATAAAAAAATAAATTTTGAATGACACCCGTGCTTTTCTTTTCTGGTCTTAAAGGCGCGTTCATCGTGACGCGCAATGCGAAGTTCTTTGCAATGGCCGCAAAATGTTTCTACCTCTGAAAACTGAATTTTGTTCTGTTTCAGGAGAAGGAAAAGGGGTACGTTTCTTCGCCGTATACAACTATGCATCGTATTTCCACGACTACTAAATTTGAAGTTTATTTAGTTTAATATAAAAATTGACCGATCTTCAAATTCACCCCCACTCGAAATTGACGAAGGGTCAGAAAAAAATTCTTTGCTCGCAGGGTACGACCAAATACAAATTCAATTGAGAAAAAGTTTGATTTTTGTCGCCCAGGCAATGCAATACCTTTTTTATGATCCCCAATCTACCTTGTGGTTGCTACTCACACCTTAATGTCTGATCCCCCCTCCTTTGGTAACTCTAAATGTATACTAGATGATTCTCCTATTCTGTTGTCTAAAAGCCAAGTTCTCCATCCCCAACCCAAACTAAGTCAACTGTTATTAGTACTGCACCCCAAACGACAAATAATGCCCGATTCCTAATAACTGTACCTTTGCATAAGAAAAGAAAATGACACACATTGGAACGACAAAGATAACTAAAGCCCAGACGGTCATGAACGCCGCGTTGAACAGCAAGCGACTTGGTTTGTCATCCACAAATTGGCGGGAAAATGCTATGGTTGCCACCACAAGGGAAAAGGTCCAAATAAGAACCAGGCACCTCTTGACCCGCTTTTTGGTAACGATGGTGGGATACCGTAATGCGTAGACCACGGCAATGTACCTAAAACATACAATGAACTCATAAACGACCTCAGAAGTGAGATACGTACCAACGCTACACGGCCCACGATTAACGCAGTCCCTGTCACGTTATTTCAGTGCAAACATATTGTGAATAAGATCTTTTGTTGTTGTTTTTTTTTTATTTTTTTTTTTTATTTTCAAAAGTTATTTTGGTGTATCTTTTATTTATTAGCTTTCCCCATGAGGGCAGGGACACCACAGCAGCTTTTTGCCAATTACAGCGGGCCCTGTAGAGTTTTAGTACGGGCACTGAAGATGGTCGTCACCAGCGTTTTCAGTGGGTCTTTTACGTCCGCCTTATATACAGGGCTATAAAGTGAAGACAGACGGGCCTACAGTTTTAAGTCATTGTCCAAGAAGACTTGAAGGTCTAACCATTTGCAGGTGTAATTAGAAAGGCAGCACCTACTCCTCAGTTTTTTTAAGACCCTGAGTGTTGGTCCGGCCGAGGCTTGAACCAAGACCTCCCGTACAACAGACCGACCCTCTTACCAACTGAGGTAATCTTCAAAAGTGTTCCTGATAAATATGAAGATGACACTCAAGGAAATGATGACACGCGGTTTATTTGGAAAGGCGGGACTGAAATTTTGCGCTCGACGAATAATGAAAAAGACGCATGTTTGCTAATGAAAAAACAAGAGACCTACCTACCTATCAATACCAACCAGTGCTAAGTTTAGCATGGATAAAGATGTGCACAGGACGTCAATGGAAACAAGCATGTTGTACGCATGTCCGCTCGACTCCTTGATCACGAACAGTATCAGCCATAACATCAAAACCGTCACCAACAACAAATCAGCAAATGCCAAATTCACAATCACGTAATTTGTAAGGGAGCGCACTGATGGATAATGGTAAAACGCAAAACAAACAAATCCGTTCCCTAGCAACCCCAGTATTAAGATGGGGACCACTATTCTTATTGCTTCATATGTCTCGAAGCTAATGTTGTCGTCAAATGGATGACTCTCTTCGGTGCTGTTCAAAGAAGTGAGGTTCATCAGTGTAAAATTGGTCGCCATTGTAACGGCAAGCGTCTTCCAGTGCCAGGGGAATCAATGCTACACATCCACGTAGTGCTAAGAAAAATAATAAAATACATGACAAATATTGCTATAGAATACGAACAGGGGAACGCTAATGATGATGATGATAATGACGCTTGTTGTTGAAGATGATGTTGTTGATGATGATGATAACGATGTTGTTGATCGTGAGAATGACGACGACGATAATGGGACGATTATAGTGATGATGATGGTGGCGATGATGATGGTGATGATGATGATCGTGATGATGGTAGCGATGACGATGGTGTTGATGATGGTGGCGATAATGATGGTCATGACGATGAAAATGATGGTGATGATAGTGACGGTGATGATAGTGATGGTGATGATGATGGTGATGATGATGGTGACGATGATGGTGGCGATGATGAATGTGGCAATAATGATGGTAATGATGATGATGATGACGATGATGGTGCTGCAATTTGAAAGAACTTTGTCTGTTGTAAGAACTATTGTATTGGTGATGATAATGGTGACGACGACGACGATGATGGTGATGCTGATGATGACGATATTGTTAGTAAAGATGTTGACGAAAGCTGATGATCACGATGTTTATGATGATGGTGTTGATAATGATGAGGATGATAACGATGAGATGATATCACAAGGGGGGGGGGGGGGCGCTGCAAAACAGTTATACCTAAGCTTTATGCACAATAATTGTGATTAAATTTCAAAAGGTAAATAAAAATCGAATAAAATTTGAACCCGAAGGACTCCAAGAAACATCTTTAGGAGCTTGAGTTATTTTAAAAAGAAAACAAATCAAATGCTCAATAAAAATATATATATATTTTTTAATGAAAATATTTAATGCAGACAATGAAAAACGAAATGGCAGCCATGTTGGTTGATACAGCAATTAGACCAAGATGGCGACTATTACTAAAGCTGAAGTGCATCATATAAATGACAGAAATAAAAGTATAGTGCCGTCACGAAATGGTTTTTCCACTCTATATATTTTTAAAGAGTATTCTAATCAAATTAAGGGGAAAAGATTAAAGTTCGCTAATTCATGGATTAAAAAATGACAAACAAGAAATAGTTGGTACCAAATGCCGTGAACAGAGAAACTGTCATTCAAAAGCGTCATTTTGAAGTGAAAATAATCAAAAACACGTCACTCGAATCCAAATCACAGAATGTCCCGACTAAAGGAAGTTTAAAGATTTCAAAACTTTAATTCGCGAAAAATAAATAATGACCTATTATAAATATTACGACTGGCAAACAAGCAAAAAAAAGACTTCAAACAAACAATATGATCAGGCTTCTTAATATAGATATTATGGCTAAAATGATAAGATTGGAACTAAATCGTCTATAGAGCAGCAGGTGAAATAGAGCCGGCAATTGCTTTTCAATCTTTAGTGGAAAAAATATGAGAGTTTTGATTGAAATGATTTCCTGAACCCATTAATCTAACCTACAGAAAAGAAAGCCTATACACAACAGAGGTAATAAGTAAATAAATGTCTTAGGAAGCGCCAACGATTAACGAAACCCAATGAATAATATAATATTTTCAAACATTGTCATTCTAGTCACTATGAATAAAGTCAGGTATTAAAACTAATAACGCTTAATCATGGGCAAAATTAACGTTTTGTCATAGTTAATATTAACTGTGGTTTAATCAACAAGGAAAAAAATCAATATTTTTGTTAAAGATGGACTGGGTCGCAAGCCCTGTTAGGCATCAAGCCGTCCACCCAGGAGTGGTTAATTAGATTAGATTAGATTAGATTAGATTAGATTAGATTAGACTAGATTAGATTAGATTAGATTANAGATTAGATTAGATTAGATTAGATTAGATTAGATTAGATTAGATTAGATTAGATTAAATATATAACGCGCGCGCTGATTAGCTGGATATAACGCGCGCACTGATTGGCTGACTACTGTTTTGCGGACAGACATGCTCGCGCAAAATTGTTCAAAAATATGTTATAAAAGCAATACAAAAAGGCTGCTTTTGTCTCTGTACTGTGATATAAACACTTTGGGAGCTGTCGAGCACACGCGAAAGAAGAGAAACAAACGACTAACACTCGTCGTCCTCCTAAGCTTGCTTATTTCGTACTCTACAGCTTCCAGCGTCTTTACGTCACAGTACAGAGACATGCGCGCACGTTCTCAAACAAATTGAACGTGTATAATACATATATACAATATATTTATAAAATATCTCTTATAAATCTCGCTTTCTGATTTGTTGGGAGCGCGTATCAATCCTCATAAACGTAACGGCTATTCTAATCTATAGTTCATTAAAAAAAAAACTTGCTTTCTGCACGCGCCGTCTTTCTCCTAACAATTCTATCGTGCTCTTGTCAATCATACTTTATAACTGCACACAGAACGCGCGCGTGTTTTCTATTTCTTGAATATGTATATTTTCAAAAGATATGCATTTATGTATGTTATTTTGTTATTTGACAAAATAACAATCGTGTTGTTACATACCGATGTACATTGAACCACACCGAATAATGTCAAAATGTTTGAAACATTTTGAGATATACACAAAAGTAAATGGAAAATATGCTAATAGTTCATCGTTTCATCAAAATATGGAGCAAAATCCTTCAAAAAGACTAGGAGATATTCACTGAATGTTGATATTATACGTGTTATGAATTGAAAATTCTACTCGCTCGCAAACATCCATTGTCGGGTGCGTCTAGAGTGCGTCTACAATGTGGTATGTTTTTCCGCCATTACTGAATTTCTTTGAAATGATTTATGGCTAAGAATTACCTATATGAAAGTGCTTTTTAATACGCGAAAATTTTCTTTATTTAAATAAATTTCTCAATCATCTTGCAGGGTATTCTAGTCGTTGCTGTTCGCGTTGTTTTTGAATTAACAGCGCGAATAATAGCGCTGACGCTATTTAACAGTAGGTATTCTAAAAGTGCACTGAATGAATAGTATTATGAGGCAGTCCATATTGGTTGGTAGAACCAATTGACACTAGATTTAACAGTAGGCATTCTAAAAATCCACTGAATAT